GTCACACTGACTGACACCCTTGCACCGACCGACTGACTGACGCCCGCACCCCGACTGACACCCGCACCCCGACTGACTGACACCCTCACTGACTGACTGACACCCTCACCCTGACTGACACACCCGCATCCCGACTGACACCCTCACACCGATTGACTGACACCCTCACACTGACTGACTGTCTGACACCCTCACGCACCAACACAGCCCCACGGCCCCTCACGCACTGACACACGCATACACCCCCCTGCTGACTGACACCAGTGCACACACACACGCTCCCCGGCACTCTGTCAGGCTCACGCAGGCTGACGGGCTCGCTGACACACGAGCACACGCTCGGAGATGCTGACACCGGCCCAGCAGGCGCGTTTGTGAACAGTGACACGCTGACAGACACAGTGACCCACACACACCCCCCCCCCAGTGACCCACAGACACCCCCACAGGTCCCCTCGTTGCCTGCCTGCAGCCAGGATCCCAGGCACACTCGTGGGCACTGATGTGTTATCACACCTTCATGCTCCGTTAGGTACTTGCACACTCACTCACCCACTCTCAAGCCTGTACACTCACACTTCTAGGGTTTATACGCTGTTTACGTGCTGATGTGGTTGTAGGCACTTACATGCTCATGGTCTTGCACTCTAAGGCTCTTGCATGCGCACTCGCACTCATGCTTGTGCTGCTGGGCTCACACGCTTGTGCTCACGCTCGTAGGCGCTTATGCTTACTTGCACTTGCATGCTCTTGTGCACCTATGCAAGAGCATCCCTCACTGCCTGCCCCACACTCGTGCACACCTGTGGGTGCCCTCATGCACTTGTAAGGATTTGCACTCTCCTGCATGCTCACACACTCGTGAGAACTTACACACCTCAGTATTTCCCTCATTCCTGCCTGCATGTGCACCTGGGAGCACACTCACACTCACAGGTGCTTCTTCTCCCTGTTCACATGCACACTGTGGGCACAGACACACCAATATGCACCCCACAGTGCCTGTTGTTGTCTGCCCTTCACACACACTTCACGCACCCTCGTACTCGTGCACCTGTGTCCCTCACCGCTTGCCGCTCCGCACACACACAGTCACACACGCTCACGCGTGCGTACTCACACCCAGCATATTGTAGTGCTCTGCCACCCCGCCACACGCCTGTATTGTAGCGTCCGCACTGTCTGCTGCTTTTGCACAGCCACGTATGCAATCCCACCGCTGTGTCGTAGTCTATAGTCTTCTGTACCCCTGCACATACGCACAGGCGTGCGTATGCAGTTACACTAGTGCATCACAATTTCCACGTTGCCTGTTACTTGCACGCACTTCTTTGCCCAGCCCTTTCTTACAAGCTCACCCCAGCATATTGCGTGGTCCTGCTTGCACACGCACGTGCACCCTGTGGTCTTCCTCAGTCTGTCTCACGTGCGCGGGTACGCACAACCCAGCACATCACTGAGGATCCCGCTGGGTGCTTCTCTCATACGCACACTCTCGCACACCGAGTTTGCCAGGGCGTTGCACACGTACACTGACACGTCAGGGAGTCTTCCACTGCTGCCGCTCGTCCAAGCAGACTCCACAGAGTCTGCTATCTCTTTCCTTTACCCACACAAAGGGTTATCTGCCACCTCTCCGCTATAACGCCGTCTTCTTTCTCAGTCACCTCTCTCACAAGCAGGCCACTGCTCTTCGAAACACACACGTAGCTATCCAAGCAACAGTCACCTGTTGCTTTTATGAGCCTGGCTTTCCTGCACACACCCCACAGGATCACCCTCTGCAGTGGCATGTCTGCACAGAGCCATGCTGCCTCCTGCTTCTGGCATATGTAACGGAGTCCTTTCTGCTTCACACTCACACCTCCACAGGGCACGCACTGCCTTTTGCACGTGCAGTATGGTCACCCGCTGTCGAACACGCACAGACACTGGGCGAGTTTGCACGTTCTGTCACACACACAAGTGACGGAGCCGCCTGGGACCTGACAGACACACGAACGCGCTCGAGGGCTGTCAGTTCCCACGAGGCCACCTGTCTTACTCACGCACGTATAGTTACTTACACAGAGCTATATGTTCCCCCACACCCCAGCCCCGTGTTACCTGTCACAGGCAGTGCTCCCCAGCAGCATCTCTATTGCACAAAGCCCAAATTTCAGTTAGTTCCCTCCTCTGCTTTTCGTTCCGCAGAGAGACATCCTTTTCCCTCAGTACCTTCATTAAATTTTGGTCCAAACTGCAGTGCGGTTTCGTACTTTTCCATCACTTCCACCACGCAGACACTTGCTCTCCAGCGTGCTCGCTCACACAGTCCCACCACCCTGCACCCCGCACGCACTCTGACACACACGGTGCCACCTCCCGCCGATGACACAAACGTGGTCTGTGCACCCGCGTGCAGCACGGGGCGCAGAACCTCCTGCGGGACGCGATGAGAGGTTTCCCCTCCGCGGGCTGCCCTGCCTGTCTCCACGGTCGTGCGAGGCAGACACGGCTTTGCAAACCCCTACCCCAGCTGGCTGGGGGCTGTGTTCCCTGACGCGTGCCGCCCGCTCAGCCTAGCACCCCTGGGTGCTGGCCCGACCCCCGTTTGCATACAGACAAGGAGCCCGCCATCTCCTTATCCCCTGCTCCCTGTAGTGAACGCTCAGTTTGTTGCTGTATGTTTCTGAGTGGCTTTTGTCCTTCTGTGAAAGCTCCCTGTTCTCTGAAATTCATGCTGTCTCTTGGGTTCCACTTTGCAGACTGTTGAGCCTGGTTCATGCATGCCTGCTGGTTTTGAGTGGCATCGACCCTCTTAAATGAGTCTTCTTTTTGAAGTGTAAGGGTAAAATACTTCTCAATCATGTTTTAACTGCTTAGGGTGGCATTGACACATATATTCTCCTGTTTGTAGATGCCCTGGTCTGACTTTTTTTTTTTTGCTTTTATAGCTGGAGCCATATATGGATGAAAACTTTGTTTCAAGAGCCTTTGCTACCATGGGAGAGCTTGTACTGAGCGTAAAAATCATTCGAAACAGGTTAACAGGGTAACTGTTTCTGCTTGTTCTCAGTTTGATCTGCCAGTGCATTTGGATTGAACCGTTTGCCCTCTGCCCACCATAGCTGTGGCGCTGTCCACATTGCAGTGATTTTCCCTTTGAGCTTTTCTCCGTTGCTGCCAACAGTATGGATATATTGATGACAGCGATGGAGGGGGTAATTGCTGGCTCTTCAGCCTCCCCATCAGCAAACCAGGGTCTGGCCCTCATCCTGCACTCATTCCGTCTGGGAATTACACCTTGTGGGCTGCAGGCTCTGTGACCTGTCTGTGCTAGTTGTTGCACCAGTGCAGCTACACGATGCTGGCTTCAAAGGAGCCATAGGATGGCCCAGTGAGTTCATTTGGAGTAAAACGAGTGACTAGGCAGGATAGTTTCGTGTTCTTTTAAATGTTGTCATTTCAGTTTGCAGTTGTTTAAACTTGGGTGGGAAAATTTATAGTCAACTAAAGTAGGAAGTAAATAGTTGTGAGCAAAACTGTTCTCTGTGTGCTTATGTTGACATGACTTACTGGTAAGTAGGGGCTATCTCTTTGCTTGAGATCCAAGATTACTTTGCTAGCTTCTTTTTGGTAGCTAATGTTTACACTTTGAAAAAGAAATTGTTCTAAGTATTGCAACTGTAGCGAATTACCTGCCAGTTATTTAAAAATGTAACATTCCTCCTCAAACGTGTTTTAAAGCTGAAATCTTTCTCCTCTCCTGTGTCTGCATTCAGAATTCCAGCAGGCTATTGCTTTGTAGAATTTGCAGATCTAGCTACTGCAGAGAAATGTTTACACAAAATCAATGGAAAACCGCTTCCTGGTGCTACACCGGTAAGTGAATGAAATCGGCCAGTTGGGAAGCAAAACTGGGAAGGAACAGATAGTGTAGAATCTATATTTTGAATGATTACAGACAAATTCATAGTTAGCAAACTGGGATTCTTCTTTAAAGTAATGAACATAAAACTGTTAATGTTCTTGCTCAGAAAATTGTTGGAAAGTTACTAATTTCTGTGTGAATGTCTGGATGAAATCAAGGTATAGAAATGTTGTATTTTGGAGCCTTTCTACTGTTACCAAAGTTGGACTTACAAGACACCAGAGAAGAACAAGGAAAAATAGATGGAGTATACCTACCACAGTCCTCCTGTCTCTCCCTGTTTGTAGTTCCCCATTAATTTGCTGCAGTGCATGTGTCGTTACGTGTGGACAAGATGAACTCTCAAGTTTGCACTGAGTTTCAAGTAACTTTGATTTGCAGGAGAAACATGACTTTTAAGCCTTGCACTATTCTTGGCCTGTAGCAAACAAGAGTTATTCAAACCTACGTACAGTGGAGAAAGAGCTAGCCCATTGTGTAACTACAAGACGTAACAAATGTCTCAGATGCATAAAAGCCAGTTAGGAAGAAGAGGAGGAATAGTCCTAGAGGCTAATTTTAGGATGTTGACTCGAGTGTGTAGTGGATTGAAATGGGACACAGCTGTCCGTTGTACCCACAGGAGCTGGCTGCAGTAGCCAGGATGACCAGATCATAAAGCAGCTCTGGAATCACCTCAGTTACAGTGGGGTGTAGTAAGGTCAATGGATGCCTGTTGCAGTGTAGTTAATACCCTGAGGGGAAAACTGGGAGGTTCAGGTGGGGTTCCTTGAACTGTTTGGTCAACTTGCTGAGAGGATGGTGTCCCCTCGTACCAGCGGTAGACGAGAGGCCTGGAAGTGTCTGTTGCACCTGTCCTGTTTAGTACGCTCTTGTGCCGTGAGTCAGAGCCCACCATTAAGGGAAACGAAATTTCCTGGATGCCTTATGTCGTCACCAGAGAGAGAGAGAAACTCCTGGAAGGAGCCACAGAACAATCAAAGTTTGGTTTCAGGAACGCCTGTCTTTCTCCACAGTTTGATTCGCAGTGTGATGTTGGTTAGAGGGATGGTTTCCATAACATGTGGAGAGAGTTACAGGTGCAGGCAGCCGAAATCGGTGCACTCAGCAGGCAACTGCCCAGCTCCTCTCTTGCATTTAGGAACTTTTTCTCTTGTTTGCAGAAAACTGAATGTGGCTCGCTCTTTTATTTGTTTTTACGTACTGAATCAGCCAAAGGAATAACAGAGCCGTGGTGCTGGAGCTGTGTCTGTTTACAGAATTAGTGTCCCCAGTTCCCACTTGAGTGGAAGTACTCTCGGGTCTGTCGTTGATTTTAAACCCAAAATATTCCAGTGAAGAGTGAGATCCTAAAAAAGACGAAAGTGCTTCAAAGTGGAATCTAAATTTTGTATCAGCTTGTAAATGGTTCACGAGAGGAGTTGTGTACCACAGCGCACCAGTGAATGCAAGCGTGCAAGGAACATGCTGATAGCCTAGAGACAAGGCTTTGCTCTGTTTCCCAGGAATTATTTATGCTATCTTTGAGGGAAGAAAATGCATCATGCGAGGTACAGGAGCACACTAGGCTCTCTGCTGTGCTAAACAAACGTCCTGGTCTCCAGGTTATGGGCTCACAGTAGGCTCGCTTGCTTTGGCGAAATTCCCCTGGAGTTCTAACGAGTCCCCTGGACTTTTTACAAGGACGCGTAGTGACAGGACACGGGGCAATGGCTTTACACTGAAAGAGGGAGATTTAGACTGGATATAAGGAAGAAATTTTTCACCATGAGGGTGCTAAGGCACTGGATCAGGTTGCCCAGAGAAGTTGTGGCTGCCCCATCCCTGGAAGTGTTCAAGGCCAGGCTGGATGAGCCTGGTGTAGGGGAAGGTGTCCCTGCCCGTGGCAGGGGGGTTGGAACTGGATGGTCTTTGAGGTCCCTTCCCACCCAAACCATTCCATGATTCCACGATTCTTGCTATGCCACTGTGTAGCACAGAGGAGTATCCGCTTTGGAAGCCTGTTGGGAGACAGGAAAATGGTTCTGAAGTCCCTCAAGCTGACGAGGAAATCCAGCTTAGGTCTGGGTGAGTTCTGACGCCAGTGTTCTTGTAAAGGGGTGCAACCTTCTTCCTCTGTCAGCCATGTTTCAGAAGCAAATAGCAATTACCATTGCACGCTGCAGTGAGCCTGCTCGGGTCACTGTGTGCTAAGCATCGTGTAAGAATGCCCATGGGATTGAGACCCGCAGGATTCTGAGGCAGAAGACTAACTGCTGCCTAGATCTTGGTCTAAACTCAAATGTGAGCTGGGCATAAGTTGCTGCACCCTGGTAGGATGAGTTCCAGATGTGCAAGTGGGCACAAATGTAGGCTCCTGGGAAACCTGTTTCGGAAGAAATGCAGGTGCAGATCTTAGGGAGGCCTCCAGTGTCCAGGGACAGATAAGGCCTTCGGAAAAACCTTGATTTTGGATCTTACTAAATGAGCACATCATCCAGAGCAAAGGGTGTAGCCGTACTTCCAGACTCAGGAACTGATTCCGTTTTCCAGTGTGGTGAATTCTGGCCTGCCAATATTCTTGTAAATCACAGCTGTCCAACAGTCTTTGCTGTCACTTCATTTTACGACCTGAAAATTAGAAGTCATGTAATATTAGTTGTTAATATCTCTGTTTTCCTGTCTTCCTTAAAGACACAAACATCTGGTGCTGTGTAAGGTTCACCTGTCTCTCACCAACTTTATAAACTGTTGAAACAAAGACAGGCCAGGCCTCTTGGCGCAGGTTCTTTGCTGATTTTCGTGATTATAGCTGTGCTGGAGTCACATAAAAATGTTGTCCTTGGTACCTTAACTGGCTGGCCCGACTGCCTTGTCATCATTAAGAATGTTGTGTGAAATAAGCTTACTGTATTTTTTTCCTAATTGTTTGGATTCACATGAGAACATTTGAATGTATGGATTGATTTTTGCCTTGTTTCAGGCAAAGCGATTTAAATTGAATTATGCAACGTATGGAAAACAGCCCGATAACAGGTAAACGCTCAATATTCACATATTATTTTTGCCTGCTTCGTGTCTCGTCATCGATTGCCTTACAGAGAGGATTCCAAATGCATAAACCTACGAGTCTGTCATTGCCAGATGAAACATACAGCTCATGGGATCAGAGAGCGTTCCGATAGGAAGGCGCCTTGACATACCTACAGCTAAAATTCGTACCGTTTTGTCCAGCAGTGCCAGATAATCCCATAATTCAAAATGTAGATTGCATTAAGCTGTCTTGGCACGCGCTGCAGACAATTTGTGATGCTGCAGCATGTTAGCACTTTCTGTGTATCCAAGGATACATCCCATCGTAGTACTGTACAGTGCCATGAACGTGTTTAGCACCTGCAGGTAAATGCGGTGGTTTCACACCGCCCGGCTGAACGGGCTAGAGTACCACGAGTCAGCAAAGAGAGAGAAGGGTGCTCTGAATTGCCCTCTGGAGCAGCCCATCTTTCTCCTCTGGCAGTGGAAGGTGTGTAAGGAGGCTCCTGGCGGTGGGTGGTGTGGATGCTTTTCGGGTGCCTGCCCCGAAACGCTGACACAGTTGAAGAAATAATAACACGAGGTGTTCGGGCAGGTGTGTGCAAGGCCGAAAGCAACACCGTCCTGCGGTTCATTAGAGAGCTGTTAGCTAGGCAACTGTATTTATATTTTAGATTATTATGAATCTTTTTATAAAAAAACCCACAACTTTTTAGTTATGCTGCTTGAATTGACTTGGAAAAGCAGTGTCAATAAAAGTTTTAGTCACCTAAGCAACTGAACTGGTGACGCTTTAAAGTGTCCATGAAATGGTCCTTTAATGCCACTTTTCTCTGAAGTCAGATGTTTAAGCCAAATGTTACTGTCATTCAGCACACCTCTTTTTTTGTATAACTGTACTTAAGAAGTTTTCTTTTGATTTCTTTAGTCCAGAATATTCACTTTTTGTGGGAGACCTGACTCCTGATGTGGATGATGGCATGTTATATGAATTTTTTGTTAAAGTTTATCCGT